AAAAATTTGGTAAATTTTGTAAAAATTTAGAAAATACTGTGTTACAGTACAAGTAAAAAAGCAAATTGCAAAAAATAACATTCTTCAATGAAATGAAAACTAAACAAAAAATGAAAACTAATTTTTTAAAAAAAAAAACTAAAAATGCTAACATTAAGCGATTTCAAGCTTTATACTTTTGGTAACCCAAAAATTAATTATGAGTAGAGGAATAATTTTTTTTTCTTTTCTTTTTGATACTACCAAGTTGATTATCCGTTACTGTGAAAATGTCATTTTTAAACGTACTTAAAATGCAAGAAGTTTGTATGTTATAAGTCATTTCATGCAAATATTAGTAAATAGTTATCAATAAGTCATCATTAAAAGTAATTATCAATAAAGCAAATTAGTAAATCAATTTAGCACGCTAAATATCAGAATATTAAAAATTAACAAGCAATATTAATAGTTCCATATAGCTAAAAAAAGCAATTTTCACTGCCAAAGATATCATTTTCAAACACAGTTAAGTAAACCAGATGATGGACATATTATTGCAAAAATAATATTTATAGGTTAGATTATTAATAGTCATTATTAATACTCATTATTAATTTATTAATAGGACAACAACAAGCATTTTTAAGGGGAGTCGGTAGAACATATATCAGCATTTAAACATATTTTCAGCATCTAAACAAGATATTGCTTCAATTTTTTCACCCAATATTTACATATACATGTTTACACTGCGATAACTGTCAATACATATATCTTACATGGCAGAAATTTTTAAGAAAAAAATTATGAAATTACGAATTTTAAAAAATTTCATCAAAACTCTTTCATAAGTCAAAAAGTATTCCTGTTTTAAGACTAAAAAATTATCACAGCATACAACTGTTATAATCTCAAATACCCCCAAAAAATTTCATAACGATATCATAAGTAGGTTCCCAGAAAACGTATATCGAAAAGGATCAGTTTCAGCATTACCGATTGATGCAATACTGACTCCCCCTCATTGTACGTCTATTATAAAAGTTATCGATTAAGTACTAGATATTATATCGATATAGAATCCAGCGAGCAGGACGTTTTGGTCCCGATTTTTTTGGTCCCGCTATTTTTGTCCCGTTAACGTTTGTTCCTTTGCTATTTCTGTTTCTCTCTTTTAGTGAACGAAATTTAAAAAGAATTTACCAAACATGGAAAACATTCCTCATAAAATTCCTTAGTTCAATTTTATTAATTTTTTGAATGCTAAGGTTTAATCTCTTTTTAAACATTTTTTTAAGGTAAAAATTATTTGATAAGAGTTTACAGATTGCACCGTGAAAAGGTAATTAACACAGAAATCTTTATTTATTTATTTGTTTACCCAAACATTACAATCATAATACATTATTAGATAATAAATTACATAATAACATAAATAGTGGAATAAAAAAAAAGAATAATTTTCATTGAAACGTAAAAATGACTTGAGTTAATTCATTAGGAAAATATGGGCAATCACTCGTAAATATTCTCAATAATTTAAGCTTTTAACTCAACACTTAATGGTTTTTAAATACTTAATAACCGTTTAAAATTCCAGATTTTTTGCTAAAGGAAATAATAAATAAATAATTTAATAAATTTTTAAAAAAATGCATTTATGGCCATTGAAATATAACCATTGTAATAAAATAAATCAAGAAACGGGATGAAATATCTATATCAAAATAGATTAACTGAATTAGCAACGAAACTGAATCGGGGAGCCGTGGTGGCTTAGGGGATGGAACTCGCTCCTCTAAATGAGGTGAGCCAGGTTTGAGCCACAGCGACCGTTGGTCAATACAAATTCCACACCCGGCTTGCACCGACCACAGTGCTGACCTAAATTATCCTCATTGTAAGATGGATCAGGGATTAGAGTCCCCTTACCCTCAGAACTACCGTGGGAAGTTAGAATACTTGATCCAGAAGTTCCTTTGTCCTCTGAATTGGGTTCAAAATTACAAGGTAACGGGGTTGAACATTGGTAGTCGTAAACTCAAAATTGGGTCGGCTGCTCAACGATATAATGTTAAAACTGAATAGGGGAGAGATCGAAGTGAGAACTGGACCGAAATCATGGAACCTAAACGGCAAAACCAAAAAGTCATGGTCTGAAATCTAGTGTGTGAATATTTAATGTGATTAATTTAATGGGTCATTTTTAAAAGCAATTAAATAAATCACATGATGCCTCTATAATTTTTTAAAAAGCATATTAATATCTCAGATTAATTATAAGTATTACTTATATTTTTTATGATAGATTGCAAAAATAGTTAAACGATAACCATTATTAATGAAACTGCTTCGATAAAAGTGGTTAAAAAATACTAAAAGTAAGCACGTAAGCATCAGATGACGTAAACATTAAAAAATACATACTTTCAGGTCAGACTATTTATAGACATTTTTAACAGGTCATTATCAATAGATTGAGTTGTTACGTCAACTAAGAGGAGCTATTAATAGGAAAGTACGGCTATAAAAATCCACTGCAATCAAAAATATCATTCTTAAACTCAATTTAAAAATAACTGTAAATAATTCGACAGAAAATAGGTTCCATGGTGCGCTATTAATAAATATTATTAGGTCATAATATAAATAGGTATTATTTATAGAACATTATAAATAGATCAGATTATTGGTCTAAAACAAGTTATATTAATACTTTAGTGCGGATATAAATTAACCTCTAATCCCAAACACGTCAGTCTTAAACACTGCTGTTTACTAAAAGTAAGCACGTCATCTACAAATGAAGTGGATCAGGTGGTGTAAGCAACATTAAAGGGTTAGATTTACTAATAGGTTTTATTAAAAGGTATTACTAATCGAAGAGATCAATAGATCAACACAATAAGCATTATTAACAGGCAAGTATCTCTATAAAAACAAATTACTTTGTTATGAATATTTCTGAAAATATTTTGAAAAGATATGTTTTCCGGAAACAAGTAATTGTTTCAGTTAGGTATAAATATAATTAAAGAAACGAGTAAATGAGGATTCTGAGTTACACTTTAGTTAATTTTCGTAAATCAGCATTAAATTTTAGCTAATTTAGTCTATTATTTGTCAAAAGAAATAAAGGTTAGACATATAATTTATTTTTTTATCTACAAGATTCTAAATTACATTCATTATCCTTTACCTCATTTGCCCTGTTTGCGTTTTAGTTCACTGCTTTCACCCTTATATTACCGAAACACATGCTCCTTGCGCTGGGATAGCCTGGTCGGTAAGGAGTAGCCTGGGATAGCTTGAGCCGATGTCCGAGAGTTCGTGGGTTTGAACCCCGCAGGCCGAAGACTCCCCGTGTAGCAAATGGGGACTTATGTACGTTAAATCTGTCGAGTCGCAAAGTCTCCATGTTCCCATAACAAATCAATACCTCTAGGGGTACTGGATTGGAGATCGATCGTTCTCTGATTCAGGTCAAAATTACGATCTGTGGATGAATGAATGGATGTATGAATGGGTCCGCCCTATAAACGGGTATGACAGAAGTCGAATTCTTGGCCTTAGATGGCGCCACTGGAAAACAAGAACAGTCGCACCCCTCTGCCTCAACAGGCATACAAAAACAACATGTTTCCTTGGGGTTTTTGTTGGTTGTTAGCTATGAAATGCTCTTAAAACTTCTTAAACTCTAAAAACATTCAAAACTCATCACTAAGTACCCTTATCTACTGAGACTTCTAGAAAGCGATAACTTTTTGACCCAAATAAATGTTGTATAATTAAATAAAATACATAAACTTATAAAGGTTATAGTTTCAGTACTAAGAGCCGAAACCATCTTTTACATTTATTTGAGCCCTATCCACGTTGCTCTGATTCATTGCCGCATAGCTTGAAATATAAAGTTTGCCTAAAGTAAGAACTCCCCTAGTAATTCGTCTGGACCTCTGGTGGTGGCTATGGTATCGAGGTATAACTATTTCAAGTAGAGGTCGGCGAAAAAAAGGGCATCCTTTTCTTCTCTCTATTGTGTTAGTCCTATAGGGAAGAGAAGCTACCCTCCCTGAAATGCGCTATTCATGTTTCCATATCAGGTCTCCAACTTTAAGAAGGAGGGGGGAGTTCTTATCGTAGACATACTACACTTTATTTGGATAGTCTATTCTTTTTCCCCAATATACGAAAATTTTGACAGAAAAATGTCAGGGAAAAGTTCACATAAAGCTGCCATCATTTTATTTATGTCAACAGAACTTCGTTTGAATTCATTTTGATACGAGTCATTTTAATTTTATAATCAAAAGTCTCATGTTCAATAATTGAGCTGTTTCTGTCCTGGCATCATTTTTTCTTTGCTGTCGTAAAAGTTATTAATGGCTAATTGAAGGTCTTACTTGGACATACACAGAAAAAATTGAACATGATCAACCATTTAAATTGAACAGATCTAGCTTTTGTCCTCTGGGTAAAAAGTTAAATATAGGTATTATGGCTAGAAAGTATAGGCCAAATCATATTAATCTATATCAGTGCCTTCCAGTTGTCCAACTGCTCATCCACGACTATAAGCACTCAAATTATTTCTTGCCGATATTTTGCACTTAATTATTGCATGACCACCTTGAATTTCACACAAATATGTTCAACGACCTATGCGCTATATTGGTTAAATACCTAACAGCAGGAGTTTTCGAATGAATGAAGAACTTGTATCCTCTGCCCTTTATACAGATAATGGATCCTGCTCTATACGCCTTTTGAGCTTGATTTTATGGTTATTGGTGGGATGTCGAGAACACTACTTCGTATAAATTAATTGTTCCTTAGCAATCGCTAAGCAGTATAAATTAAATTATTGCAGTATTTTTGAAGGAACATTTTTTCCCGAATAAAATATAAAACAGTCAAATCACCTCTGCATAATGGAATTATCTGAATTTAACTAAAGTGATTGTGCAGGAATTTCTGTGTGTGGATACGTGACGAAAAACACTTCTTTCTTTAAATTAGTTTTCTTTTCATTTTTCAGGTGAGGGAAACTTTTTCTACTGAGAAATGGCAACTATTTTCCTACGGCATCAATTTGTGTTTTTATTTTTAATTTGTTCTGGAATTTATTTTTTAATAACATGGCGCATTATGCTAAAAAGCAAAAGCATCAAAATTGAAGTCTTAGGAATCAGTGGTATTAATGTCAATAAAGATTTTAAACCTATGAGAGAAAACATGCTACTTCGAAACAGGAATGAAGATTTTCCTTCGCATGGAGAAAGTGATACAAAGTTACTAAAATCAAATTTAAATGACTTACATTCTACTCCAGTTACTCATATGCTCAATAAATTGAGTCAAAAGGCAGCTGGATTATCTCATGATGTTATGAATTTCGTAAGGATAGAAAAAACAACTACAGATGAAACTAAGTTACATCACACATCTTTCACTAATATGGACTCAAAACACAATTTGTTTGACAACTTACCAAAAGAGTTCCTAACAACAAGAGCTTCTGCGCGCCTTCAAGAACATGCCCTTAATGAATCAAAACAAACCTATTCTAATTACTCGAAAATTCGCCAGCCTATACTGAATTCTGATTTAGGTGGTAATCCTGGGTCAACTTTTATACAAAAGCATAAAGATATGGAAAAAGTGACTCCTCCAATACAAACACGTATCACCAAATCTGCCAAGATTCAAACACCTTCACTGCATTTAAATTTAAGTGGCAATGCTAGGTTAAAATCGATAGAAAAGCATAGAAACATGGGAAAAGTGACATCTAAAATACAACAGCATTTGGACAAGTCTGATAAGACTCCAACACCTTTACTGCATCCAGATTTAAATGGTGATCCTGTGTTAGGATCCAAACAAAAGAATAGAAATAGAAATAAAGTGAGTAACACGGTGACACAAAAAAATTTGATAACTGCTATTAATTCCGGTTTGGTCTTGAATACTTCTGGGTGTAAAATATCCAAATTCGACCCTTGGGATCCAACGGTGATAGAATTTATTAAGATTCTTGGCCCATATAGATGCTCAGAGTTTCCTAACTTTCTAGCAGCAGAGCCTCATGGAATCATCCATTTAAATATTGGAGTGCTCAAAAAGTATTACAATTCAACTCTAGATGATATAGATTGTTGGTATCAGGGAATCAAACGTAAACACGAAGAGCCTGGAAACATCAGAGAGAATGACTATTATAGAACCGATGTTCGTAAACTAAAATTCAATCTACCCATTGAAGAGGAATACGTTGTAGTTAGATGCTTTTTCAATAATAATCACACCCATGAGCAATATTTCCCTCTCGTAAAGCTCAAAGAAGACGCACAAAAAGAAATACCAAAAACTAATCGACCTTTGAATGTCATTCTTTTGGGCATAGACTCTGTATCTAGCCTAAACTTTGTAAGACACTTTAAGAAAACAAAAGCGTTTTTAAAAAATAAAGTGAATACTTTTAAAATGAATGGCTATACAAAAGTCGGTGATAACACCTTTCCTAATTTAGTACCTCTGCTCACAGGACACTTTGTCGAACATTTGTGGAACGAAACGATTAAAGATACATTTTATTTTGATAATGTAAGTTTTATATGGAAAGAGTATTCTCGGTATGGATATAAAACTTTTCTTGCGGAAGATATGCCTTACTCGGGAACCTTTAACTACTTGAAAAAAGGATTCCATGACCCACCTACTGACTATTATTACAGACCTATGGCACTGGCTATAGAAAACTCAGAGGCATGGCAAAAAGCAAAAGCTGATATGTCTCCTTGTATAAATTCGCAACTTGAAGTCGATATAATGTATGACTACTTAAATAACTTTGTAAAAACTATGAACAAGAGACGTTTCTTTGCATTTTGCATGGTTTCTATTCTGACGCATGATGATATAAACTATGCTAGCTGGGCCGATGAACCTGCAGAAAGAATCTTAAGAGAACTCGATGATGCAGGAGCTTTTGAGACAAGTATTATCGTTATATTTAGCGATCATGGCATAAGATACGGTGATATAAGACAAACGTATATAGGCAAATATGAAGAACGTATGCCTTTCATGCATATACATGTACCTCGATGGTTTCGATCTTTGTATCCGAATATGGAACGGAATCTGAAGATTAATCAAAATAGACTGATTACATTGTTTGATTTGCACGCGACCATGAAGCATTTACTTCACCTAGAAGACAATTTTGCAGAAAATACTGATGAGTTGGGTTTGAGCTTACTAGATGAAATTCCAGAAAACAGAACCTGTGCTGATGCAAACATCAAACCCCACTACTGCCCCTGCAATAATTACGTTGATGTATCCGTTAATGATTCAACTGTTAAAACACTTTCCCAACTTTTAGTAGATCATTTGAACGACCTTTTACTTCCTCATTCGGAAGTTTGCGCGAAATTAAAAGTATATACTATAAATGATGCTCGCCTGGATATTTTCAGTGGAAACTCAGGGAATGAACATAAAAGAAAGCCGTCATTGTCATCAACAGTTAAGAATTATTTAATAACTTTAAGCGTAAAACCAAGCTCAGCGATTTTTGAAGCAACTATCCAATACGATATTGAGACTAACCAAACAACTGTGCTAGGTATCAGCAGACTTAACATGTATGGAAGACAATCATGGTGCATAGATAGTCAAGTTCTTAGACTTTACTGTTATTGTAAATCTGAGCCACCTTAAATTGCTACTTACAACAATTAGGGAATATGTATGGTACATGATAGGAACATATCTACATCTGAGAGATATTATCAATGTCTAAATTTAGGTATTAAATTACTATTCAATTAGTTGGCTGATGATTCACATAAAGGTACATAAATTTTTTTTTATCTTGGTTAACTATGTTTTTAAATTCTTACACCGAGAAAAAATATGAGCAAAACTACCAGAATATGGCAAAATTTACTATGATTACTCTATGGCAGCACCAAAAGGCTCAGTACTTTTTGCGGAAGCGCTATGGTAATGATTTTTGGTAAAATTATCACTGAAATATAATTTTATTATATGTGATAAAATTTTGTAATTTTTATATCTTAGACTTAGAGCATGGCATAAAAACTATTTATTTGGTAAAATTTACATTTTAGCTTTGAATTTCTTAAAAATTGTGTGGTGATAAGAATTATAATTTTGAAAACTAGAATTTCCAGTAAACCGTTAACGTATGAATGAAAAATTATCAAATGAAACTTTTAAACTAATTTTCAAAACTTATAACTTTTTTACTTATAATATAATTGCAGAGTTTCATTAATTTTTATGCAATAAGTCCCTTCTTTCATTTGAGATTTAAAACACATTTCTAATTACTATGCATATTTTAAAGGTAAGTTTATAAACTTTTACTTTAATTTAAAATGTCTTCATAAATTTATTCTATTTACAATTAGTAAATTTAAGTTGCAACTTCTTACAAAAAAATTTTCAACATAATCTCACAAGGTCCTTTCATAGTTAATTTACTTTGATGATTATATTTCAATTTTGATTTTTCTGTTTTTTTAAATTCATTGATGTTTCCTGTGAGAAGAACAAAAAGTCGAACTTTTCCCACTGTACTATTCATGTTAGTAAGTTAAAATATGCGCAACAATAAGCAAATGTGGGAAACAATAACTGCATACTTTTACAGCAAGTTATTAAACAACTATATAACAATAATTAAATGTGGAAAATAATAACTGCCTATTTATAGAGCAATTATTGACTGTCTATTATCAATAAGAATGTGGAAAGCAATAACTGCTCGTCTACACAGAAATTATTAAATACATAAGTAGCAACATCTCAATGTCGAAATCAAAACTTACGTGTCTAACACTCAACAATTAAAGACCTATATAGCAATAATTAAATGAAGAAGAAAAAATAGCTGCACGTCTATACAGAAATTATTAAATGTCGATACAGCAATAAACAAATGTGGAAAGCAATTACTGTATGCCTACACAAAAATTATTAAATATCTATATAGCAACAGTTCGATGTCGAAATCAAAAGTTGCGTTTACAAACTTGAGCAATTAGAGACATATATAGCAATAACTAAATGTAAAAAAAATAACTGTGCATCTATACAGAAATTATTAAATATCCATACAGCAATAATTAAATGTGGAAAACAACTGCATGTCTATCAATCAATTATTAAATATCCATGTAGCAACAATTAAATGTCGAAAGCACTAACTGTAAGTCTATACCGAAATCATTAAATGTCTACTCAGCAATAATTATGGAAAGCAATAATTATGGAAAGCAATAACTGCATGTCTATACAATTAAAAACATCTATACAACAATAATTAAATGCCTAAAGAAAAGTAACAAGCAAGAATTGCATCTAAAAAATTCAAATAATTATTTTCAGATGAAAAGCAAGAAATCTGAACTGAAACCGTTAACTGATTCAGTAAACTGATTATTATAAAGACAATTTTAAAATTTACTATTTTGTTTCTTTGGTCTTTTGTTTCTTTGGATTTGGTCTCGTATTAATATTTTGAGAAGTTTTCTTTATTTTCTTATGATGTGTCTCGTTTGGTAGGGCTGTGCGCAAAAAACTTTGGTTTTGTGCAGTGGGCCATGCCACCCTTTAAATTCATTCTGTGAAAAAATAAAAATAAAAACCTTTAGAACCGAAAGTAAAAGTAAACAATAAATATATTATTCTTATCATTACACTAAGAATTTAACAGTTTTCTACACATGCTAATGGCCGAAGACACCAGAGTAAAACTTGCAACAAAACGTATTTGTATTGATACTTATACACAAATATGTTATATAACCATTGCTACAGCTTGCAACATGTTATCTCAGAGAAACAACGCGTGGTTCTGCGAGATATCATGTTGCAAGCTGAAACTAATTGTTCACATTTATATAAAAAATTAGATTGATTAAATGTCTCTAATATCCCCCTTGTACTGTTCCAAACCATATATAGCCTGATTAAACAAATCTTTAAAACTATAATTAATATAACATTGATACAGCTTGGAACATGGTATCTTACAAAAACAACATGTAGTTCTGCAAGATATCAAGTTGTAAGCTGGAACTAATTAATCAAATATATATAAAAAAATTCGATTGATCAAACCTCTCATTTTCCCTGTTCCGAAATATATTCAGTTTAATTTTTAAAAAAAATTTAAAAATATGATTAAGATACCATTGCTACAGCTTGCAAACATAGTATCTTACAAAAACAACATGAAGTTCTGCAAGACACCATGTTGTAAGCTGGAACTAATTAATCAAATATACATAGAAAAATTAGATTGATAAGACCTCTCATTTCTCATTATTTTCGAGAACCATATATTTAGCTTAAATTAAGACTTTTTTTAAATATAATTGAAAAGAAATATTACATCAAAAGTTTTTGATTTATTTTAGTTTGTTTATTAAAACGAAGCACGGGTTATATAAGGAATGGTCGTTGTAATTAATCATAAAATATTATTGCTCTATAAAAGATAATTTTATTTGCCTTAAAACGTGTGTTGCTTTACGTACGTGAACTAAGTTACAAGAAACGTGACTCGATGATATTTTTAAATAAGCTCTGATAAAAATAAATACTTATATTTTTGCTTGTATAACCTTTTATGGTATATTCCTATTTGTCTTAAACTTACATAAGTAAGTATTACTTAAACTAACATGCCCTATAATTATCAAAATTTTCCCACATAAATTCTAACCTGCAAATATATTATTTAATCAGATTTAGAAAATATACTTACGTTTTTAAGACTTTTTTTCATTAAACTTCACTAATGAGATAATAATCTATCTGATTTTAGAGATTAGATTGTTAATTTGCAGATTTTCAAAATTTTATTTCTATTTCTTAATGTTTTTTGGAGATTTTAAATATCTAACTTTAAGTAAATTGTTAAGTAAAAAATGTATCATGTGTTATAACGTGCTTTGCAATCTTCTGTTAATTATGCTATAGCCAGAAGGTAAGGAAAGATTTTTTACTATGTAAAACAATTCAAAATTCAACAATTTTGTATTAGTTTTAACTATAACAAACCAAACTAAGGCAAACAAAGTTAAAGAGCACAAAAATATTTATAAAATGCAGACAGCTGTTTCGGATGCTCAAAGGGCAACCTTCATCAGTGCAACAGTTGCGCTGATTGTATTCCGTATTTGTATTACGTATTTGATTAGTGCTGACATCTTGCTTAAAATTAACTAACTATCTACAATTACCTTAAAAATATCTCGGTACTACCATCTGGTGTGTAAAATGAGAAATGAAATGTTTTCCGGGCAAAAATAAAAGAATTAGTTTTAGTCTTATTGGCGCGTTACTACTGAACACTCCAGCCCATCAATATCACGGGAACGAGAAATAGAGGGCGAAACCTCACCCCGTCATTTTCACGGGAGCGAGAAGGAAGGGGTTAAACATTCTTTTCCAACTTTTACAGAAGCTAAACTGGCAGTTCAAGATCATAGTGAAAATGATCATCTTAAGTTAAATTCTAAAAGCACTCCGTTTATTTGTGCTTAAGAACAAGTTATGTTTGACTGTAAGTATGTATCAAGCAGATGAAGAACTTAGTGAAAACAAACAGGCTAAGTAATATTCTGAAAACAATCCATTTATTTGTGTTGAAGAAAGTGTTAATGTTTGACTGCAAGTATGCACCATGCATGTGAAGAGCTCAGCTAAAACAAGCATGTTAAGTAATATTTTGAAAGCATGTATTAAAAACATGGTAAGTAATATTCTGAAAACACTTCATTTATTTGTGCTTAAGAACAAGTTATGTTTGACTAGAGGTATAAATCAGGCAAATAAAGAGCTTAGTGAAAACAACATGTTAAGTAACATTCTGAAAACATTCCATCGTTTTGATTTTAAGAGTAAGTCGCGTTTGACTGTTACATTAGACAGTTCAGGAACTTATTGAAAACTATAAGTCTAACATTCAGAAAACACTCAATTCAGTTGAAAGCAAGTTATGTTCGACTGTTAAATTCAAATATTATTTTTTTGAAAATTGCTTCTTGAGGTGTAACAGCCGCTATAATATATTTTTTAAAGGTATAATCTTCTCCACCACATGGTTTTCAATTTTGAAAAAGTTTTTAAAAAGTACAATGTATAAATAAGTTTATCTCCTGCTTTAAGAGAAATCTAAGTATTGTAATTTATTAACTGAACATTCCATAATGTTCTAGTGAAGAAGAGCATAGATAATCTAATATTTAATTTTCGAAAAAGGGAAAATACATGACAAATAAATATTTATTATAATTATTTTTTGCGTAAATCTAAGTATTAGGTACATTTTAGACAATAGCATTTCAAAACTTGAATTAAACGTTAAAAAAAGCAATTAAAAGAGTAACCCAACATGTTATGTTCTTTTACAGCTTTTTTTTTCATATCAATTGATTTTGCACATCTAGAAAATATACGCTCTATATTTATTTTAAGAATTGTTGAAACTCATTGAACAGTCTTAAAATTACTTGATTAAAAATTTTCATTCGAGTCAAAAATATACAAATTGGAAATAACAGTCTACATATTTCTAGAGCTCAAAAATAGGTGCCCATTTTCAAGACTTGCCAGACGTTCCTTCACGTCCGGCAAGTCTTGAAAATGGCAGAATCTGAGTTCTATAGGCATAATGTAAATGAGCTGTAAAAGCTTGTTTATTTTTTTATATCTTGTTTATTTATGTATTTCGCTATACAATCAAAGTGATAGCATCATTCTTTGCCCTAAATGTTTGTAAAGACCTCTAAAT